TCTAAAAAAATTTACTTAGAAACAATTTGCTTGGTTTCTATTGACACCCCCCCACATGTAATTAAATATTATATAATACACCAATAAAATCCATGCATACAAATATGTAAGTATGACTATATAAAAGATAATTTTAAAAAATATTTGTACTTATAGTACCATTTCAAGAAGTTTTTTTTAGTCATGATAGCGAAATAATTAATGTAAACTTATAGTCATACAAGGTATTTTTTTTTAATAGAATGAATAAAAAAAAAGCACAACTTTATTAAGCTAATTTGGCAACAAATTTTCAAATTTAAAACTCATATTGTATAGTACAAATCAGTAAATATCAGAATGTAATTTGTTAATTATTTAGTATTAAATATACTTATTATATTAAAAAAACTTATGTTATAGTGATGTCATTAAAGATAAAAATAAGGTGGTTGAATATATTTAAGACTTCGACGTAGTTATAAAGAGCATAGGTATTGAAAAAGATAAGAAGAAAGCATTAAAAAATAAAGAGAAAATATTAAAAAAGTCAAGAAGAAAGTATTGAAAAGGATGAGGATAAGGCATTGAAAAGGATGAGGAGGTGTTGAAAAGAATAAGGAAAAGGTGTTGAAAAGGATAAAGAAGAAGGTATTAAAAAATTGTCAAAGATAAAAATGGCATTTGAATACGGTTTGAAATCTGCTGCAAATAAGATAGGCTTATCAGAAATAAAAAGAAGGCATCTGAATGGTGTACAAAACTTGCTAAAATAGAAATATTTAAGCAACATATAGGTTTATCAAAATGAGCGCTTTAAAAAATCTATTGTTAGATAATATTACAAGAATACTGAAGCAAACCAAAAAGATACTTTAAAGATGTAAGGCTTATAAGAATATTTTTTAATATTAAATACTGAATAGCAACCTCTATTAACTTCTTCTAAAATTACCTTTCCAAGTTATTCATAGCTATTATTTGAATATATAAGCTATATTACATCTATTAATAACAATATACATAATAGATTAAAAACCGGCTTCATTATAAACTTATAGTACTAAAGAGCAAGCTCTATTAATCCTTTTAAAATACTCTTCCAAGTTATCTAAAACTATAATTAGAATATACAAGTTATATTACTTCTGTTAACGATAATATACTAGTTTCATTGTAGATTTAGAATACTGCTAGTTTTATTGTAGATTTAGAATACTGAAGAGCAAACAGCTCTATTAATCCTTTCAAATACTACATCTATTAACAGTAATGTGGCTTCATTACAGATTTAGAATACTGAAAAGCAAGCTTTATTAATTTTTTCAATACTGAAGAGCAGGCTCTATTAATTTTTTTTAAAATTATTCGTCCAAAGTCATCCAAAACTATAATCAGAATATAAAAACTAGGGATGGCAGATGATTTAAATTATTTCATTATAAATCTGATATTCGATTTAAATCATTTTAAAGCTGATTTAAATCATTTATTACGTAATCAATATAATCGAAAGACTACGTAGTTTGTTGTTATGATTAATTTTATGATTCAATAATTTAATATAAAAAATTCAAATATAAGCGATTTAATCTTTAATAAAAACAATATCACGCGGAAGACCTCCTTTCAAAGACATTCGTTCTCAATTTATAAAAATTGTAGACATAGATAAACTTGGTCGAAAAACCCCTCGTCTAATGTGTATCCACTGTGAAGAGGATATCATTGATATAATTGATCATTTAAAAGATCATTTGATGAAATGTAAAAATCTTTTGCAAGATATAAAAGATTCTTTGGATTTTACTACTACAAAAGATCGAAGAAATAGTATACAGCATATGCAACATTATTCTGCAGGCATTGCCTTTAATGCAATTGAGAACCTTTTTTGGGTTACATTTATGAAAATTGTACAACTATCATATATTATTTCAAATCGTCAAAACTTAGCAAACAACTTATTGGATGCTGAATATTTTGTTGAAAAACAAAGATTAGATGCTATTTTAGAAAGTGCATCCAATATAATACTAGTATCGGATGGGTGGTCAAACATTCGGCGTGAATTAGTCATAAATTTTATTCTTTGTTTTCCAAAACCGTTTTTTTTATGATGCAAAGTATTTAGGAGCCGAATCTCATACTGCTAACTACATCTATAATGAATTTAAAAATATTATTAAATCAGTTGGCTTCTCCAAATTTGCTGCTCTTATAACTGACAATGCTAGTACAATGTGATCTGCCTGGAAGTTATTAAACAGAGACTATCTACAATTAATTTGCTTAGGGTGTAATGCACATATTATGAACCTTCTAATAAAAGATATACTAAAACTTGATTGGGCAGAAAAAATAATGAATTGTGCAAAGCAAATTATAACTTTTTTTCGTTCACATCATCCAGCTGAATCGATCTTGTTAAATCAACCAAATACGATTACATTGATTCAACCTGTTGATACTCGATGGGAAACATGCCTAGATGCAATCCAATCTATTCTTAGATGTAAGCTGGGGCTTCAAATATCGGTGGTGCAACCAGAAATTAGTACTAAAATTACACAAGATCTTTGAGAACAGATTTTAAATAAACAATTATGGAAAGAATTTGAAAAATTATCATTACTTTTAACGCCTTTTGTCAGGCTTGTATGCTTATTTGAATCAGATGAACCTTTACTCTTATGTGTTCATTATGAATGGCAAATTCTTTAAACATCAGTTAGTAATTTATGTGATTTGAACCCGAATTTTAAAATAAAAATTCTAGACCCGTGGGTCGATAGCGCAGTGATTAGCGCTCCTGGGTCACAATCGCAAGGTCGCAAGTTCGAGTTTACTGGGTGACGAACGGCTCTGCCAGGACCACAATTGGCTAAGATCTTCGAGAGGATTTGCCATTAAAAATGAACAAGATTCGTACAAGTTGCAGTCCGCCGGCATAGCCACGGGGCTGGGGACGACTAGATAAGGTGTAATCTGTCAACAAACGACGCTAAAATTGAGAAAAACCCAGCTAAAGGATTACTAAAAGGACGATCCGGCTTGTAGGTCATGTGAAGTTAGGGAACTGCGGATCTAGAGAATGTAGATCCTACACTGTGGCACCAGGGACCCAGGACGTCATATGACGTACTTAATGGAGCATAAGTTATCTCACCAGTATGGTAACATATAGGTGGCCAACTCACCATACCGGTGATCTCCGCAGATACGAAAACTCTGGCCTTTGAGAAATATGAGAGATCCGAAGATGTCTAAGGACCTTCGAGATACGGAGGGAGGTTTAAAAAAAAATAAAATAAAAATAAAAATAAAATTCTTGATCTAGTTGATAAATAGTTTGAATTTTCATTTCACCTCACAATGGTAATTGTGAACCTTTTAAATCCCAAGTAGGTTTTTTTAAAACTACAATTTTATATTTATATTATGTATTATATTGATTTGCTTTATATGTATATATTAGCTTTTATGGGAAATCCTTGAGACCAACAGATCTTGAAACTGTAATTATTCCATATTTGGAACAAATTTACATATTTGAAACTACTGCATACATATGTATTATAATTTATATTTGTTTGAATGCATATAATTATTATAATTATTTATTTTTATTTTATTCATTTATTTATATATATCTAAGATTTATAGAGTACTGCAAAAGTATATCGCTAAAATGGAAGAATTTTCTGGCTTGCTACTTTGGGCATCAATTGAACACTCTAATCCGATCAGTTGGTGGAAGTCAAACTTTTCAAATAAGTTTCCTATTGTGGTCAAACTTGCTTGTCAGGTTCTCTCAATTCTAACATCTTCAGCTGCTGCTGAATGATGTTGGTCAAATTTCAGATTCATTCATAATAAATATCGTGCACGTTTGGACAATAATCGTGTAAAAAGCTTGTAAATGTTTATTAGAATTTGAGAATTCTGAAGGATATTGGCAAAGATATTTGGTTTGAAGATAGCGAAGATTAATATTTAGAATCGAAATTATATCGATATAAATCATAATAATATAATGTAATAAAATCATGTACTTAATGTTTTTTTATGAATCGCAATAATGTAATAAAAACCAATGCTTAATAATGCGCAATAAAAATCAATGATTTAAATCAAGAGTAAATCATTTTTAAATCACGAAGTTTGATATAAATCATGATTTTTACCATCCCTAATAAAAACTATATATTTCTGTTAGAGACAATATGTATAATAGAATTAAAATTTTGCTTCATAAGGAGCAAGCTCTATTAATTCTTTTATAATTACTCTTTTAAGTTACTCGAAACCATGATTAGAATATTCAAACTATATTATCTCTATTAGTGATGATATATATGATGTATTAGAAACTAGCTTCATTAGATTTAGAAGTATCACAAATAATTGAATGATTAATAATGCACTTGGATTGTACTATTATATTAGATGATAGTGTTGTTGAAAATAAGATAAAAGAATTTGGTGAATATTTAACATTAGACTATAGACAATGTTGTTAAAGATAAAAAGAAGATATACTTCACATATATAAGACTTGTACAATTATATAAAAATATGAAAAACAATCATATAAAAAAACTCTAGAAGCAAGCAATTTACTGAATTAAAGGCATTAAAGCCTTGATTAGTTTAGGTCTTGTTCTATACCAATATAAACATATGCATTATTTGATGATATTCAAATATATAAGTAATGTTTATATATACTATACTATTTAATTCAATTAATTTATTTAAGTTTTAATGCTTTAGTGTAAAATAGACTTCTACACCAGTAATGTCCAACCAAAAATAATGCATATAATAAAAAAAATTTAAAGTCTTACAAATCATAAACACAGAAATTATCAATACATGATTTTGAGATTATGCAATGACATCATGAAAAGCTATATAAGTATGCGAAATTAGCAATTGATCTAATAGATCAAAACATGTCAAAACGTAAAAATTATACCATTAGACAAAAAACTTGAGATTATTTCAAAAGCAAAAAAATGTCTAATAAGCTGCAGTGTGAATATATGATATTGATTATTTTCAAGTATCCAAGTAGCGAAAAAAAAAAAAAAGAATTAGAAGCTATACGTTCAAATAGAAGTGTTAGTTCTGAAAGAAAAGCTGCGTATCCTCTTGCAGAAGAAGCGTTAAATCAGTGGGTTGTTCGTTTACGTCAAGATAGCTTTATAGTATTATTGTCTACAATAAAATGTAAAATGAAAGAGCTTCTTAAAACTAGTTTTCAACAAGTATATTCTAATGTTTTAGAAACTTTTGAAGCTTCAAATAGTTGGTGTCAGAGATTTATAAGCAGATATAATCTTGTATTTTGGCACTATACAAAACTTGAGCAAAAACTTCTTCGTGACTTAGCTAAACAATTAGAACATTTTTATGAATTTATTAAAAAGTCATAGTGTATAAATAATTATGAATTATCTTGTATCGCCAATATAGATGAAATACCTATCTACTTTAACATGGTTGAAAATCTTATTGTAGATCATTGTTCAACAAAAACAGTTCAAATAAAAACTACAGACAATAAAAAAACTCAGTTTACGTGTGTTTTTGCAATTCTGGCTGATGGAATTAAACTCTAGTCATGGTAATTTTCAAAGGCAAAAGACTTCCTAGAGGTCTCTTTCCCTTGGATATTGTTATTAAAATACAAGAAAATAGATAGATGGATGAAACTTTAATGAATGAATGGTTAGATGAAATTTGGAGAAAAAGGTTTTTAATCTATAAACAAAAATATAGCTTATTAGTGATAGATTCTTTTGAAGAACACCTTACTGACTCTGTCAAGTCAAAATGTAATAAATTGAATATGGTTAGAAGCATAATTTCTGGTGGACTTATTTTGTTAGTTCAGCCTCTTGATATATGTATTAATAAATCGTTCAAAGATCAAATACAAAAAAAATGGCAAAACTAGATAGCACTTGGCAGTTTTGAGTTTACAAAAGAAGAATTTTTTTTTTTTTTTTTTAAACGCGAATTGGCGTACTAGTAGAGTTTGTCTATCACAATTATATATTAAAGTTTAGAAAGCTAACTAGTTTTTTCTTTGTTTTGTTTTCCTGTGTTTTGTCTCAAAAGAAGAAAATTTAAAAAAGCCTCCTTATAATCTTATCTGTCAATAAATAGTTGAAGTATGGAATAATATTTCAGCTAATATGATCATTAATTTGTTTAAAAAATGTGGTATTTCTTATAGTATTGATAGAGAATCAGAAGAACAAATGGTAATTACTGTAGAAGATAGAGAAAATTATCTGATTGTTTATATTAAAAATCTGAAATATATACCCGAGTACTAGTTAGTAGCTATTTCTTATATTTCTTATTAGTGAAAAAAACTAATATATTTTATTTTATATTAGATAATTATGGTTTCACTAAAGATTCATTTTGGAATTTATGCAATAAGCAAACAAATCTTGTTGTAGTTATGAAGATTAAATGAAATTCTTGGTGATTATAAGATACGTAGTGAATATCTTTTGCTATAGTTTATTTATTAAAAATTAGAAATACTAATAGCATGTAAAGTCTTGATAATTTAGAATTATTTTACCATATGAAATAAAACTATTGCATTTGTTTGAATACAAATATTTGAAAACCAAATTAATCTGAAAAGTTTTTTATTTATATGATTATTTAATAAAGGCACAAAAATCTATTTTAATTCATTTAAAAATATTTTGTATTAGTTAAATAATATTTTTTTGCTTGATGTTAAACATGTGACCTTTAGAAAGTAGCACAATAGGGACATTAAGAATTCGTAAATTATATATGTACAATATATATAAGATATTTAACTTATAAAAGAGCAATTTAATGATGTTTACTAAGCAAAAAAAAAAGAAAAAGAAATTCTATCTCATAAAAAAAAAATTATTTATTATAGTTAATTAAAAAATATTGTCTTAAATACTATGCTCAATTAAACAAAAAACTAACTTATTTGATTTATTCATCATTAATATTAATTAAAAACACTTTTTTAAATAAGTTATAAAAGTGTATCAAAACAATTTATATCATAATTATACACTTTAACATACTATTAAAAATATATTCTTACTTTAACATATTGCTAAAAATTAATTTATTTTACACTTTAACATACTATACTATGCTATTAGCCTATTAGACTCTATTATTGTTTTTATAATATTCAAATGTATAGGCTGAATAACATTCCTAATGAAAACATAAAATGAGTATATATAACATTAATATAATATAAATAACATAAAATTATGCGATTTAGTGCAATTTTGTTTAACCACACTAAATCACAATTTCTGTGTCTCTATAGCACAAGAATTAAAATTTTAGCTTATAAAAATGTAATTGAATAAATTTCTTTAATAGATTAATACAGTCCTGAATAATAAAGTTGTAGATATAAAGGTTCGACCAAAAGGATAAAAGTGCCAAGAGATATGAGAATAAAATAGAGAATATGAATATTAATTCAAGTGGTTATTGTAATCTGAAGATGAAAAACAGAATGAAAATAGTAAACAAATCTGAAAGCCTTGATGAAAAAATGCCAGGAATAGTAATGAAAAAAAGTATTTGAATATTATCAAAAATCAGCAAGGATGGCTCATTGGGGTGTACAACATCAGTCTAATTACAAATATAGTACAGATCACATAATGATGATTATGATCAAGATTTTTTATAGTGTACTGTAGATTAGCATTAATTTAATAGTAAAACATAGAAAGCTTAAGCTGCAATAACTCTTGAACCAGCAAATATACACAAGTAAAATTATATTTGTCTGGTTCGTTATAATGTGCTTTTGAATATAATAATGCTTTTTTTTATTTTTATTGTTTGTAGTGTAGTGGGAGGGGATAAAAATAATATCAAAATTCTCATTTTTGATCTATTATTAATAAAAATATCAAAAATGTAACTTTGAATTTTTCTGTGTATATTGTGACACAATATGCAATAGATACGTTTTTGATGCTTTTATTAATAATATATCAAAAATGAGAATTTTGGTATTATTTTATCCCTCTTCTGCTACTCTCCAAACAATAAACATAAAAAAAAAAGAGCATTATTATGTTAAAAAGCATATTATAACGAACCAGGCAAATATAATTTTATTTGTGTAGATTTGCTGGTTCAAAGCTTTCTATATTTTTACTATTAAATTAATGCTGATCTACAATACACTATAAAAAATCTTGATTAATGATCATCATTATGTGACCTGCACTATATTTGTAATTAGACTGATATCGTATACCCCAATGGCTCATACTGATGGAATATATAGAAACGGGATACTGCTATGAGAGCAAAAAGAGGATGAAATCAAGACATCTAATTGTTATCAAAAATCTACAAGTGTGGGTCATGGAAATAAAATATTTAGTATTAGCTATTGTAACCAAAATAGAATTGTTGACAAAATAAATAGTGACAAAGAAGTCAGAACAATTGTAGTGAATAAGTACATTAAATCATAGTAAATGAAAAAAGATAGCCATAGTTAATCTTAAGAAGTTGAATCAGATAAGAGTAAAAATGAAAAACGTATCTGCTATAGGCAAACATGAGACATCCAACTATTATCAAAAGTTTGCTAAAGCTAGCTATAAGATGTTTAAATAGTATTGGGATGTTGATACAAGGTCCTAAATGTTATAATAAAAATAATATTAGATCTGATAAGAATAAATTATTTGAAAGGTATTTTAAATCAACAAAACTCATAGTTCTGATGAATGTATGGATCTTGGAGATTATGATCAGTTAAAGCTAGTGATCAATCTGTAGAAAGCACTAATGTGGAAAATTAAGATAAAAAGATATTTGAAAAGATTCTAAATTCTGCAATCAATATAAAATAGACATAAATGAAGATGAAAAGAAATACTTGAGTAGAATTTAAAATGTGCTAAAGGTGATAAAAAAAATGAGTTTAATTACGATATAGAATATGAAAGCGAATTGTAAAGAGTATGGTATATGTAGCGATATAGTATATCAGTAATAGTGATAGTATATATGTATTGTAATAGCAATTACTATACTATTTTTAACTAATAATATTATTTACGGATGATCTCGGCTGGGGGTACTTATTTTTGGAGATAATTATTATCACAGGAGTGCTTATTTTTAGGGGTGCTTATTTTCAGCATATACAGTATATATAATTGTAATCATAATCGAAGCTATATATTAATAAAAACCAGAGACATGACCTCATTTTGATATTAAAAAAAAATTTCTAATAATAGAATTATTAAATATACTTAATACTAAATTAATAATATGGGTGTGGCAACTTAGTGAAGTAGTCAAGTTGTCACACCCCAAGCAGTTGAGTATTGGTTCAATTCCCACAGAGAGTGAAAATTAGATTTTAAGAAAAATGGAATTCAGTAACTATCGTCATGGCTGGGAAAACTCAAGACTCTGTAACTATAGTTATACCAATTATAGATTGCTGGAAACTGGAAAATTCTTGGGCATTTGTGTAATATAAGGAGTTATGCAAAAATATACAAGCCGGTTTAGTCAGTGCAAACCCAAGATAAGTCCTTCAGAATCGCAGAAAGCTACAGGGCTGATACAGCGGTAGGCACTTGGGAAGTTCTAAATAGAGAGGTAGTACAGATCTTTGATAGTACTACATACAGATTGATACTTGAAGAACCGGTAAAACTGAACAGGACCAAAGTGCTTGGCAAGGCACTCTACCAACCAGGCTGCCGGAGAAAAAGGACTATACTGTGGGAATCTGATACAGGTCACAGCCCTTCTGAGCCATCTGAATTAGTAGTTTGGGATAGCTGGGGATACTAGCACAGGTCAAATATATGAATAATAGAATATACTTATATAGTTCTATTATTTTGCCAATATGCATAAGAGGGCAATATAGAAGAACCAATAATAGTAAACTAATAGATATCGATATTTTAGTAAAATAAAATAT